GACCTGTTTTTCCTAAAACCATTCTGTTCATCTACTAATCCCCCATAAGCCTCCAAAAAAGCATTAAGTCTGTTGTTAAGGACTCCTGAGTAAATTTTATAGACTGTACTAATCAAACTAATCCCTCTATAATTCAGCGGGACCCTATGATCATCTTTTATGGATTTCGGGATAGGTTTGATAATTGATCGATTCCACACAGATGGTATAATACCATTCTGAAAACATATACGACATAAACAATGTAGAACATTACACAAGCTAGGGTTCCTAAGTACCTCGTTAGGGAGATCTTCAATGCCCACAGCTTTATTTACCTTGGCTCTATCTAGTACTTTAAGTACTTCCTCTAACGTAATATCACTGTTCAGTATATCATTTTGATAGTATATTGTGTTCATCCCGGTTTCCAACTCCAATTTTACTTTACAAGTTTCTTCTAAGAAATGATCATCAAATAAAGAGAAACTACTATAGGAATATAATTCACGATAATCCTTTTCCCACTTTTTTAATATTTGTCCACATTCAAAAGAAGATTCGCCAGTTTCAAATAAAACCTCCATAGGAATTAATGTTTTCTTTTTTGGACCTAACTTAAGTAATTCCCTCCAGAATTGCTGAGGGTTACCAGTTTGTAACTGTTCTAATTTGAGGGCCTGGCCTCTTTTAAACCTTCTTTTACAAAACCTAAGCTTTCTATCAAAGCTAGTCTGGCACTGTACAAATTCACTATGCAAAGCCCTCCTCTCCCCAAATTTCCCAGGATTACCCTTAAGAAATAATCTTTCTGCCGATCGTAACTTCGACCATAATTCATTTAATTCATTATTCCAGTAAGGTTGTTTAACTCTGTAATATTTCTTTGTAGCACCCATATTCTTTACAGGACAATATTTGTCCATCTCAGCATGTAAAAAATTACAAAGATTAGAATAACATTGGTCCATATTTTCTTGATTTTTATGTACACTCTGTAATTGGCCTATTACCTCCAATAGGGCCCTACAACACATATTTGAAGACAGGAAATCAACAGGGTAATTCCTGTCTCGTCTTGCATATTGTGGACAGTCAGCCTTACTCTGAATATTGACCACCTCCCCCGCTTGAAAACGTAAACAAAGAACTGAATGGTCAGGGATTCTGCTATGATCATCAATCAGATCAAGACTTCCTGGACCAACCCTGTCAAAAAGTTGTGAAGGTAGATAAACATTAAATCCAAGACATGTATTCAAATTAACATGAGGCGTTACAATATAATCCACAACAGCTTTGCCCCTTACAGAGATGGAAGTAAAGTTATCATTTTCCGGATTCAGCCTCCCATTAAGTATACAGCATTTAGAATCCTTCAAAAACTCAAGAAAGGTATGACCATGCTTATTTACATTGGCATCCAGAGCTATTCGAGGAGGAAGATCATCTCCTTCCACATAGTCCTTAAGCGCCCCGATCCGGCTATTAACATCACCACATATATAGATTGAGTCCACCTTGTCGGTAACAGTATATATCAATGCCAATAGATGGTTGAAATAAAGATCTGCATTCCTGCCCCAGACAGATGATTCTGGAGACAGGTAACATGAAATTAAAATGAAAGAATATTGCGATTCTCTATGCTCAAAACATAAACAAAATATCCCATCAACTGTTTTATCAACAATGCAAACTAAATACTGCTCCAACACAGCATTTTTAACCAAAAATCCCACTCCACCCGAGGCTTTAACAGCCCTCTTATGAGCAATACGATTGTGTCCAAACCAGGTGAATCCATCAAAATCCAAAATGTCATTACATAAGTGAGTTTCATTCAGAGAAATAAAGTCAGGCTCTAAAGATTTAAGTAACAGTCTCCGGAGTTCACAGTTTGACCGCGTCCACCCATTAACATTCCAGTGGACTAACAAAAACTGTTCATTCACAAACCTGACGGGCTGGGCAAGCCCCTCTCAAGCATCTCCACTAACAGCAGTCGATCCCTCTCTCGTTGCACGGCGAGGCACCCGCGTCTGCTTCATCATGCGTCCGTTGGCTGCCAAATAGAAATCCCTCCCAACCGCAGTTTCACGGATCAAAGTTCTAAAGTTAAATTCCATCATCCGTTCGGCATGAGTTTTCACTGAAGAGACGTATACATCCTTGAAGCCGTCGTTATCTTTCAACTCCGATTTTCTGCGTAACACGGCCACTTTCTCTCGAACCGAGCTCAGCTCCACTTTAACAGGTCCCGGTCGATTTCCGCGCGCCTGCACCCGCTCCACCGCGACGGGGCAGAGCGCAGTATCGCATCCAATGCCGACGTGCAACAGGTCTTTCACTTTAGCCATTAAATCCTCTCCCTCTAAATGAGGAAGCCCCACGACGATCAGCGAGACATCTGGATCAAAACTATTCTTCTTCGCCTCTTTCTCAGCCATTTTCTGCTAAATTTTTTCCATTCGTGCACACAGAATTCCCACCTCAATGTCCAAATTTGTTTTCATGTCTTTAGAGGCCTTCTCTATCTCTTTCAGCACAGCGTGTTGACTTTCAGCCATCATTTTCTCCATCGACTCACACAACTTATCAATTCTCGCATTGACTTGCTTTCCCATATCAATTTGTATGCGGTCCAGTCTTGCGTTAATTGCTTTCAGTTCTTTCATCACCGCCGCGCTGCTGCAACACTCGATGTCATTTTTATTGCTATTTTTTGAGGTTCGCCCTTGTTTATCTTGATCCCCCATCCTTTCACTTCACGCCGCAGAGGGAAGGTATTAACTTTAGAATCCCGAAAAGATCAGTTTTAACCAATAAATCACAGGTTTAACAAAGAATTGTTCTAAAGTTTAAGAGCATCAATACACCAAACACGCTCACGCGGCCATCTTGGATTAGTCTTCTCCTTCTCCCGTATAAATACTGGGAACTATATTCTCTGAAGGCGAAGCACTGCTACTTGGGCGGAGTGATAACCGCAGCACCTGAGACGTGCCGTGGTGAGGAGCAGAGAGCGCGTCTCAAGTGCTGCGGTTATCACTCCGCCCAAGTAGCAGTGCTTCGCCTTCAGAGAATATAGTTCCCAGTATTTATACGGTTAAAATATGTCTGTGTCTCATATGACTTTGTTTTTTGTACACTCTGTGACTATACAAATCACAACATGTAAATAGGAAAATGTTTGCGTTATTTTGTCACTTATTTGGATTAGTATGCTAGCTGCAACCATTTACATCCAGTCTTTGTGCTAAGCTAGGCTAGCGGTGGGTGCGTCAAACAGACTTATAGCACGCACGGAGATGAAAAAGGTATGTATGGACTTATCTAACTCTGGGGGATAAGGTGAATAGGCTAAAGTCCCAAAAAGTCGGAGTGTTCCTTTAAGAAATAAATAATGGACAAATTGAGTCTTTGGACGCCAAAATGAATGGGAGTCAATGGGATGCTAACAGTAGGTGATAGCCAGCTACAATGGCGGCCCCGGAGGAAGCTTCAGTTTCCGGCGGATGGATATAACCAGAGCCTTGCTGCGTCCCAATTCGCATACTATCCGTCCTAAATAGTATTCGAACATAGAATTAGTACGTCCCAAATCGTAGTATGTTGAAATGAGTGTCCCAAAGAGACCCGGATGGTCTACTATATCCGGTCAGAATCCGAAGTGCAGATCGTTGCACACTCTAACGGCTGATATTGCCCACAACCCGTCGCGCGTTGGACGAGGATTCGGTTAGAACTACAAAAACGAGTGAAAAGTGTTCAAAAACTACAGACATGGAGGACGCGCGAGTCCGACGGTTATGTAGAGAGGTTTAGATAAAGGGGTTTGAGTGATTAATTATCAGTATCTAACCTGACGAAAATGTATTTATTCAATGTTGTCCACATTATATTGCATCTGCAGCAGCATTGTGAACTTTTGCAAAGATACGTTTAGCCATTAACTTTTAAATGCATTAGGCCTCAAATTCCAAACACATGAGGAGAGTCTCGGCATGAAAGACCCATGACTGGCAGATGAAAGTGCGACAACATTTCTCTCCGAAATGGTAAGAAGTTATATGGAGGATTTTAACTGTGACGAGTTGATTGACAGGGTAGTGCACGCGACAGATCTGTCCGTTAAAGATGACGAAGTAGTATGTCCCAAAGCTTGCCTACTCTTTTACACACTCAAAAGTATGTACTTTTTCTTCACAAAAAGAGTACATACTTTTAGGGCGTAGTATAAATAGGCGAATTGGGACGCAGCAAATGTCTGATATAACCGTGGCTAAATGGGACTACAGAGGCTGTCGGGAAGATTAAACGTCATCACGCCGAACAGTAAACTCAGATCGCTTTTAGAGCCTCGTTATGCTTATAACTGAGCTCTTATAAATTATTCTAACTCAAACGTTCTGGGTAAATGTTTTTAAATAAAAACGGAAAAAGTTGACAGAAGCTTAGTGATGGTGACGTTGAATTCGTGGGACTGTGCGGTGGTGTAGTTCGTTTATAGCCTACCTTTAGATTTGTACTTCTGGCGACTGTTTTTAGGCTTCAAAATTCATAAAAGTTGTGTTCATCTTTGATAATTATCTTGATGGACAAAACGTGCAATATCATAAACTTGTTGATCACAGAGCTTGTTTTTAGCTATGGTTTTTAGCGATAATCCAAAAGCCTATGGAAAAATCCTATTGGGTTTTTTGTCAAGGGAACCAATGCTAACGGCCAGAAAAGATTTGGGTAACAAACCATTCTGACCAGATCTACGGTCAGGAGCGTTTCCTCCGAGGAGGCAAGGGAGGCAGTTGTCTCTTCAAAAAAACTGGATGAGAAAATAATCAATATTACCAAAAATAAAACAACACAAATATTACAAAATTTGACATTAAAATGTGTGAAAGACACTGGTTTTTATAAAGTAACACTACTGTCCAACAGTGACACTCTTGGCTTATAAAAAAAATTAGTATTTGATTGTTTGTAGAAAATCGCAAACAGCAGGTCGGGAAAGTCTGATCCAGCGCATCCTGTCCAGTAGGTGGCAGAAGAGTACCGTATAAATTTGTTTGCCAATCGTTATTAAAACAGAAGAAGGGTAATTGCATGGTGAGCACCTGCTCCCAGGTTTGTATGTTCATAAAAAGATCTGAAGATCTGTTCTTGCATTATTACTATTAGCATGGCTCCACGAAGAACTAGAAAAGTCAGTCAGGATTCTGAAGGTCAGCCTGATTATGACCAGAAGATTAGACTCACCAAAAGAAAGGAGCTGTTCATACAACAGTTTGAGAAGGAAGGTCAGTCATATATAAAAGCCAATACATAATCTTTCCTGCATATGTAATAATGAACCAGTTATTTTTCTTGCACTGAATCAGCTCAGGACCGGATTAATGAAATGGAGGCCAATCTGAACAAATTACTGGCAACTGTGGACCGAGTTTTCAAAATAGAGCTGATGAAAATGCCGCACTCGCTCCACACCACGCTGATAAAAGACCTAATGAATGGTAAGACAGTTACACAGCATGTTTGTCCTGTCTGGACATTATTATTATTAATGTTACTTGTCTTTATAATCGGTGTGTGTGTTTTTTTTAATAAAGATGATGACACGTCTGTGGGCGAGGTCACAATGGCACTGAAGGTAAAATGATTTTGCTGCCCTCTGCTGTTTGCTTAAATTTGGTGGTTGTATCCTTTCTTTTTTCTTTTTTTTTTTAGAGTGCGTCTCCTGAAATTCGGAAACCCCTATCTCGAAAGCCAAGCAAAAAAGGTTCAAGGCAACTTCTAGTCACGTTTTTAAATTCAGCTTTTATTGGTTTTAGGTTAACATGCATTCTTTTTAGGTTTAAATGCCACAGCAGGGCATCAAAGTCCATCGGGTCAAATCAAGACCACTCTAGTGGATGGTATAAAGGTACTGACCTTCCATTTGCTTTGTCCTCTTTGTGGGTGCCTAATTGAAAATTTATGTATGAGCTTTCTCATAACAGAAACCTGTGAAGAAGACCCTGCACAACAGTAACAGCACTGGAAGTCTGAGGTAAAGCTTTAATTTAATTGAAACCCTCTGGTGGACTTCGGTCACTTTTGACAATTTGTTTTGAGTTTAATTGGAATGGTACTAGAACTTTCTTTTGCACCTGCTGACAAAAAGTTGTGGACATGATTCGAAAACACTGAATGGTCTTGAATGGCAAATGTTTATAAAATACTAAATACAGAGCAGTTTTTGGGAATACTTAAGCCACTAGGGAATACACTGCCCTTTATTTACTTGTATTATAGAAATAAATGCTGCATACTTTAGAGGTGAATATTGTGTATTACCATGAAATACCATGAAATATTAAAACTAAATAGTAAATTTTCATTTAAAAAAAAGTAAGCTTATATTGTCTTTGTTCTTGACTGCCGAGGATCACAATTGTGATCTCTAAGTGAGGAATACCAGAGGGTTAAATAATTGTCAATGGAATATTCCTAATGGTCAAATATAGTGGAGAGCTCACGTTTGGATTTCTCTTTACTCTCACTGACAGGTCTTTCTCAACTATCAGTGCAAAAAGAACCCAAGGACGGGTTGTCAAACTCGGTGACCAAGCGTTTGGTTTAGGGGGTAAATTTAGGTAAAGTTTCCTTTCTTGCATGGTTGTACCAGTGTATTTCTTTTCAGATGTGCGTTTTCACTAAAAATGCTGCTTTTCTTTTGACGAACAGACAAGCAAGTCGCTCTGTTGGTGATGAAATGATGGCTACAGCCACAATAGTAACTTCCCATGGAGAAGTGAGTGTATGTACGAACCGTTGCAAAGTTTTTGCTTATTATAGCTTTCAACAATGGTCCTTTTCTGCATTTTTAAGACACTGCTACTTTCTGAGGACAATAAAGATGACATCAGTGTTGAGTTGCTCGATGATGCGGCTGTAGATCAGATGCGAAAGATCAAGGTAAACCATTTAAAAACGTAGTCATTTTAAGTGGTTGCTTAAAGAAACAGTGGGAATTTAGAATAACCAGAAGTTTGACCTCTTTATTGCAGGACCTAATGGATTATCTTTGTAAAAAAAGTGGTGCTCAATCATGCTGATGAGTTTTAATCCGATCAGTTGGAGCCAGTGTTTTAATAATGTTTAAATGTAAATCAATAAATAAATAATTGTAAAGAGATGCAATAAAGTGATTTGCTTATTATTTTGTCTGGTATGCAGTGTGATATGTATGCAAATGTGTAAAGACTGATAGAGGATGCCATAAATGGTTAACACTAGATGGTGTTAGTTTGCTTGTGCATATTGTCCTGTTGTGAAGTTTCTCAGTACTGAGGTGATTTATAGTAAACTTAATTTTTTTTTAAACAGGACCATCCCATCCCGTCCCGTAAAACTGCACATTTTAGAGTGGCCTTTTATTGTGGCCAGCCTAAGGCACACCTGTGCAATAATCATGCTGTCTAATCAGCATCTTGATATGCCACACCTGTGAGGTGGATGGATTATCTCGGCAAAGAAGTGCTCAGTAACACAGATTTAGACAGATTTGTGAACAATATTTGAGAGAAATAGGCCTTTTGTGTACATAGAAAAAGTCTTAGATCTTTGAGTTCAGCTCATGAAAAATGGGGGCAAAAACAAAAGTATTGCGTTTATAATTTTCTTCCGTGTGTGTGTATATATATATATATATATATATATATATATATACACTCACCGGCCACTTTATTAGGTACCCCATGCTAGTAACGGGTTGGACCCCCTTTTGCCTTCAGAACTGCCTCAATTCTTCGTGGCATAGATTCAACAAGGTGCTGGAAGCATTCCTCAGGGAGTTTGGTCCATATTGACATGATGGCATCACACAGTTGCCGCAGATTTGTCGGCTGCACATCCATGATGCGAATCTCCCGTTCCACCACATCCCAAAGATGCTCTATTGGGTTGAGATCTGGTGACTGTGGAGGCCATTTTAGTACAGTGAACTCATTGTCATGTTCAAGAAACCAATTTGAAATGATTAGAGCTTTGTGACATGGTGGAAGTAGCCATCAGAGGATGGGTACATGGTGGCCATAAAGGGATGGACATGGTCAGAAACAATGCTCAGGTAGGCCGTGGCATTTAAACGATGCCCAATTGGCACTAAGGGGCCTAAAGTGTGCCAGGAAAACATCCCCCACACCATTACACCACCACCACCAGCCTGCACAGTGGTAACAAGGCATGATGGTTCCATGTTCTCATTCTGTTTACGCCAAATTCTGACTCTAACATCTGAATGTCTCAACAGAAATCGAGACTCATCAGACCAGGCAACATTTTTCCAGTCTTCAACTGTTCAATTTTGGTGAGCTCTTGCAAATTGTAGCCTCTTTTTCCTATTTGTAGTGGAGATGAGTGGTACCCGGTGGAGTCTTCTGCTGTTGTAGCCCATCCGCCTCAAGGTTGTGCGTGTTGTGGCTTCACAAATGCTTTGCTGCATACCTCGGTTGTAACGAGTGGTTATTTCAGTCACTGTTGCCCTTCTATCAGCTCGAACCAGTCTGGCCATTCTCCTCTGACCTCTGGCATCAACAAGGCATTTCCGCCCACAGAACTGCCGCTCACTGGATGTTTTTTCTTTTTCGGACCATTCTCTGTAAACCCTAGAGATGGTTGTGCGTGAAAATCCCAGTAGATTAGCAGTTTCTAAAATACTCAGACCAGCCCTTCTGGCACCAACAATCATGCCACGTTCAAAGTCACTCAAATCAACTTTCTTCCCCATACTGATGCTCGGTTTGAACTGCAGGAGATTGTCTTGACCATGTCTACATGCCTAAATGCACTGAGTTGCCGCCATGTGATTGGCTGCTTAGAAATTAAGTGTTAACGAGCAGTTGGACAGGTGTACCTAATAAAGTGGCCGGTGAGTGTATATATATATATATATACTAATTGGCATCACTTATTTTCCTTTAACTTTATGTACTAAAATAACAAACTGAAATTACAATTTCTATAATTCAATTTATAATTCAAATTATTAACCTTTTAATAGTAGCCTATCTCAATGATAAAATAACACTGCTCAGTATACAGCCATTTAAATGTAATTATTTTATGCATGGAATAACTTGATCAATTTACGTATTTTCAATTTCATTTAAATATCCGTAGCTTTGAAAGCATCGCATCACTGTTATATGTGCACAACTCACCCGACTCGCAGGTGAAGTTATAGCGAGAGGCTTGCCTCCCCTGATCCTATTGACTTTTAACAGACCACCCAAAGTGGGTTTGATGGGGGTAATTGAGAATGAATGCAGGAAAGTCACGTGAGAGGAGTCAATGCCCCCATCGCGCTATGATTGGATAGGATCGGTTATGATTGGTTCGTGCAATAAATCGTGCCTCTTGTTTTCGTTCTCGAATCGGCCCGAATGAAGATAATGATGTCGTTAATGGGAAGATTTATTAAAAAGTAAGTAAACAACTCAGCCACTTATATCAACGCTTTATGTCACGTCAAAATCAAACTTGAAATGGCCTGAAAACATGCTGACTGTGTTGTTTTTTTAGTAAGCAATCAGCTTGGTTTAGCTAGCAATCAGCCAGCAACAATCCATTAAATTCTCAATGGACACAAATAAGTCCTACATTTTTCGTTTTACTCGGATATACGTCACAATAGGAGAGAAAAGACAATCGTAACTTCTGTTTCATGCTGACTTTAAAGGGACAACTTTACCTTATTTACCCCTAAAAGGTACACTACAAGGGTAGGCTATATTAGCCGTGTGGACGAACGGCCGAACCGCGTAAAAAAAGTCACGGTTATAAAAATACCTGTGTCCGTGTGGATAAGGCCTAAGGTACTAATACTGCACCTTTTAGTTGTAGATAAGGTACACAGTTATTGCTTTAAAGGGTACTGTCCCAGTGACAAGCTGTTTTTATTTTTGCACATTAATTTATGACATTGTTTATCACAGTATTTTTGCTTGTCTTTTTGTTGAAGGCTTTCTTATGAACATCTCTAGTAAAAGCTCTGAGCACACAGGTATGTATAGACATTTTCGCTGACAAGCCAGGGCATGTTTCAGATGACTAGACTGACTACATAGGTTCTTTAAACTCAAACACACACGCTTCCTTCCATGCTCTCCAGCAAGATAACTTCTGCTGCCCTTTCACATATTTATTTTCATTCACTTCCGCCATTGGTGGCAGTGGTGTTTACATCAAACCAATTAAGATTGTGTCATTTGTGATATCTGTAATAATAGTGCTGGAGATCTGGTTTATTCTAATGTCAAGTAATAACATTCCTTTCTCACAAAGTTTTTAGAACTCATCTAACTTTTCCTGTCAGTCTTTTTCCTTCCCTTTTTGTACTGAGAAGTAACAATGGGGTCTGCTATGTTATAATTGCTTATTTGGCAACTATTCATATCCATCTCCTCTGATTATTTTCTCTCTTTGTCCCTCTTTCTCTCTCTTGTTTTTAGCGTGTAGGCAGTCCACTCCACTGTCCCTCATTTTTTATCTGAGTCAACAAAGTATCACACTTACCCATGCACACACAAAATCTTTCATTTTTCCTTTATTATAAAAACTATGATTTTCTCATCTCTTTTGAAACATCACTACACAAACGATACAATACTATAAACAAATTCAAATAAGTTACACCTTAAAAAATATAACAAATATATATACTGTATATATATAATAAAAGCTTGTTCAACCAAAGCACTGGCTTTGCATGTTGTATGCAAGCATTCTTGAGGACAGGCAAAGCCCCCGGCGGTGTTCGAAATGCAGTAAAACCCAAAGCCCAGTGGGCAAAGAGGAAGGACAACAGCATTTGTTTAACGTTACGCTACAATAAATTTGAAAGGTCTGGGCTCTGCAGGGCTTATGGTTCAATAACAAAGGAATTTTTACAAGTTTGGAAAGTTATTGTGGAACAGTCACATGGACCTCAGCAGTTATTACTTGCGTAAACTTTGCAGTATGAAAGTGAAAAGATGGTGTTTGTCACGGAAAGTCTTGTAAATAATGGCTGCGCTATAGACTGGAGGTCCATTCAAGGTGAGTAAGGGCCTATTCACACCAAGAACATAACTATGATAATAACTATATTAGCGTCCACAGCAACGGATGAGATCGTCCTGTTCATTCTAAGCATGTTTTCGTCTGCAGCTTTAAATGCTTGAGCTCTTTAAAGCAGAGTGGATTCTGATTGACTGATAATGTTTTTATAGTTCATCAGCTGGAAAAATTTGTTCTGAAATTGATTCCAACAATACCATTTCCCAATGCCGTTATCATTATAGTTGCGGTGTGGACTCTGTTATTCTTTTATATTTAAAACGATTTTTAGAACTATATCTTTATCGTTATTGTCCTTGGTTGTTTCAAATAATATAAATATGATGAGAATATGCAAACCTGATCATGGGGGGAGAAAATAACATTAAACAACGTTCATTTGAATGGTAATGCAACAATACACATGGCATAAAAACCAGTACTAAAATGACAATGAATGTTGTGTTTTAAGAGCAGAGCTATTAATTGTCAGTCATCAATCAAGTCTGATTCTAAAGTGAAAAGTGAGATGTTGAGATGCTGTAAGTCCATCAAAGTAGCATTCCGCATCACAGTTGTAACTAGAAGTCTTAACCAATCACAGGATTCCATATTTGACAGGGTTATGCGAATGAGGCTACGTCCATGAGTATCTGTATTGCCATGGAAACGCAAGGCACCTGAGCGATGACATAGGCAAATGAACGCGTCGGTGCTTTAAGTGCCAACAGGTATGCTATGCTGTGAACAACTCGACCCAGGAAGAAGACCAGAAAATGAAGTCGTGCTACTGCATACGAGGGGCCTGTCATGGAGTAGATGGCTCCGAGAAATAAAAAGGGGAAAATGTTCTCCATATCATTGTGGTGTGCTCTGAAAAAAAAAAAAAAAAAACACACACACAAACATTGTCAAATTAATGTAGGAAAACCTTTGGAAATTGTAATGTAAACACTAACAGCGTGCATTGGTGTGGAGGAAGAATAAGGAGAACTGCTGAAAGCTGTTGGAAACATGTATAAGACATGACTTTGGTAATAGAAAACAGAGTTTTGTTGCCATTTATGAATGATGTAGCCTACAGCAACATGACCATGCTTGTTTAATCATAGCTCATCGTGAGTAAGATCTTTTCAAGTGTTGACCACAACTCTCATGCATTCCCACATTGTCATTTAAGCCTCTCTTTCAACTACTTCTAGGTAATGTTATTCTCTAAACACTGTATTTGAATGAATAGCCCTTTGAGGCATTTTTAACATTCCAGACTGCCGAAATACATTATGGAAAGCTGCTTTTCTATGGAGCTGAGGTATGTACGCTCAACATCTGGCTTTGATCAGGACTGTAAACTGTCTGGCTCTGTCTAATGGCAGCAAGCCAGGACAGTAAACATTGCCAACATCACACAATCTTGCAATATAAATTTACTTTCACTACGAATCACTCACGCAGTGCGTCATCGCATGAACGGATCACAGCAATCAGAAGTGCTTCCTGTACCAGCTTTAAAGGAATTAATCATATGTTGACATTCATACCACCATGAACACATGATGGTCAAATTTCCCATTATTTTCTCACTGTTTGTTACGTAGCAGACAGTCATCGTTGTGAAATCCTGCATTACACAGCTTCCTCCTTATCTTTTTGCCCCAACAAGGACTTTCCATTATAACCATATTCTGCTGGTATTTAATTTTAAAAGCAGAAATAACTTTTACTTATTTGTTATTCACCATTTTCCACATCCTTCCTTAAAAAATGTTCTAGCTTTTATCCTAATACAAAATCTGATTGTATGCACGAGGTTCAAAGAGATTATAAAACAAATACGCAAACCTGAGTTGTAGTGAAATACCTTTGTGAATGCATTGCAATTAAGGTCAAATAATGGTCTTGTCAGGACTTGCTGACAAGTCCTACCGTATCACATTTTACCAATCTGGCAACTTAAGATCACATATGAATATCTTAAATGAACCACTTACAGAAAACAAGACTTTTTTCCAGTGCCATTAAGTGATTTCAGAGCAGTCTACTGAAATAACATCTTTATCATTTTCCGATTGTGCAGATGTAGGTTGGAGTGGTCTGTAATGGGCAGAACAGGCAAGTTTCCTGATGATAAGTTAGGAAAGCCAAACACTAAGAGCCCTGCAGCTTAAAGTACGATGAATGTTTCCTAACAGGCAGCCAAGTCTATGATTGTTTTAGAGTGTGTAGTTTCAAAATAAAATCTCTCTTTGTTCACATGCTCTCACATACACACATACAGGTAGGCTATTGATACTGTGGAAACATATTCGAACAAACAGGCATGGCGACTGACTAATAATTATTACACAAATGGGCAAATTAAAGATCTTAGCTACATGCAGTCCATTATGAATTAAGCATGATGCTTCCTATAGGGCCTTTGAACTTTTACACAGAGCCATACCAGTACTCCTTTTCTGAAGACTTCGACAGTGCTAAAGAAAATAACTAATCTACCAGACACCCTGCACTAAATGGGCCTAGTGGGAACAAGACTGAAGCAATACATATCCAATGAATGGGCCCTTTTCACATTTGCAGAGTTTTCAGAAGCGGAAGTTGTCATAGTTGGGTAGACTTAGTGGTGAACGGGAGACAACAGCAAATATAATTTGTATTCCCATTTGCTCCAATAGCAAAAGAAAAAATCCATGATAGCATTTCCATGACTTTCCAAAAAAGTTACAAAATAAGCAAGAGATTGATTACAGCAGTCAGAAGAAAGAATGTCAAATTTGCCAAACTTGTCAGCTGCTGTATTAGAAACATCATCGCAGCAGCATTAAAATATATATTTGTGATATTGATAACTGTGAAACACACCATTACAGTCTGTAAAAACATATCTATAGACATGTAAAGTCTAGAAACAAGAAACACTAATTTTGAAAAATTATATAATTATATACAGTATACAGTAGATATATATATATATTTTTTCTTGTGTAAGTAAAGGTTTGAGTCACCTTAATTTACATTAAAAAATGATGTTCCCAATATGTTCCTGTGTAAAACAAATTATATTTATATAATAGTATGTTTCACACAGGAACATATGGGAACATCATTTTTGAATGTAAATTAAGGTGACTCAAACTTTCACTTACACAAGGGAATTTTAACAATATTGTCTTGATATTTGTACAATGTAGAAATTTCAACAACAAAAAAATATGTAGATCTTGAAATCTTGTTTCATTAGTAGCTATACGATACAGTTAGAGATAAATGTGGCATGCATTAGCCTAATATGCCAAAACAAATGCATTTGTTAACATTGTCCAGGTTTGTTGTGAATGGGGACTGAACACGGTCCGTGTATCTTTTGGTCATTTGATTTCCTGTTTGGAATGGAATAACGAGAAATGAAATCCAGCTCGTTTATTCGTTTTTTTGTTTAGTTTAAAAAACGAAAAATTAGATTTTGGCTCGATTTTTCATTTTTCGTTTGTGGTTTACAAATCGGTTTATGGGTTCGATATTTCATTTGCACACGTGGGCGGCGCTGAAACGCCCCTTTCATCTGATTGGTCAAACCGCTCCGCCTTCAGTACAAGCTTTTCTTTCTGTCGGGCAGAATAAGAGTATTAATAAATGCACTTTAATAAAACAATGTCTGAAACCACCACTCACTGTTAACTACGCACAATATTTGAAGCAGAGATATTGCTGGTCACGTAACTCGTGCTGCTGCGACTTGCAAGCGACCCCAGTAATGTGAGCCACAGTAGGCCTACATATGACAGATTACTTTAGCATGATGTCTTTCCCATTGATAAATACAGTGCAAATAGTTCCGTCTCTTTGGATAAAAGGGAATAGGAAAAAAAAAAATCAATAACTGAACTGTACCATGATAAAATATGTCCGTAACATTAGATGTCCGTAGATGACCTACCCATAACGGTTACATTAGAGTTAGGGGATAACACAGTTTGTACAGTATACAAATCATGATGTCTAAAGTTCCCATAAAACATGAAAACCCAATGGGAATATATCCTTGTTGTTGTGTAAAACATCCGTTCATAATCTGTGATTACACAATTCCTATACGAATAGCACCGGGAGGCGTCTGGAATAACTGTGCAATGATCAATCCGCATTTTTACGTAAACCAGCTAATTTTACAGTAGGCTAATATTCAGAATGTCCTTCTCGTATAACACACAAATGGGCTTCCTTTGTGAAATATAGCAGACCACCTTTTTTTAAACTGTTATTTAAGATATATTTGTGCATAAATGTTTGCATTCAAGTTTTTCATATAGTCAGTCCGACAGATAGATAGATAGATAGATAGATAGATAGATAGATAGATAGATAGATAGATAGATAGATAGATAGATAGATAGATAGATAGATAGATAGATAGATAGATAGATAGATAGATAGATAGATAGATAGATAGATAGATAGATAGAACCTTTGTAAGATATTGTAAGATATGCGCTCGTCTTCACAAAAACTACATGCAGGGTTTTTAAACATCTCGTGTGGAGAAAATATAGTTTATTCTGGGCAGTATGGCAAGCCATGGCAAAAAGCAGGCTAACTTGTAGGCTATAGCCTTGAAAGGAAAACACATTTGCCGAGTTAAAACAGAGTTTTTGTTGTTGAATCATATTTTTTCTAGTACATCTTAAAATATAGAGCTCATGTCAAATAAAAGTTCCAGATGGACAAATATTAAATGCAAAAACTAACAATATCTTAAAAGAAACTATAGAGTGGCAAACTTTGAAGTAGGGTTCAAGTTTTAATTAGTTTTACAGCTTGAAATGTAAAGCTTGTTCTCATACACAGATATGGCCTATTTATGAATGAAATTCATGCTTTTATTTGTCATTTCAACTGATGCAAACAGGAAAAGAGTAGAAAGACGTATTATCCTGTCGCCCCCTCTAGTGGACAGCATTAAGTATTACGCCCATTGCTCAGATAACGCAAGTCAATGGATTTTTTTGGGAAAGTAAGTCTGACCAGTTAGAAAAAGATATAAGCGAGTCAGACCAGTCTGAAGGTCTGAGCTGAGTTTGGTGAAGCATTAAAGTTCTAGGCGGAGTCAATTTCTCATAATAATAATAATAACGTTTAAATATATGCTTTCTCAAGCCAACATAATAAACAGAACTCAGAGAAACATCGACCAATTCAGTATGTAATAAAATTGTATTAGTTTTATAATAAAACTAATAACATTTTAAAGGTATGCCGTGCTCTTCAACTGTCATGATTTTAATTAATCCCAAACCCTGCTAATTTTGAAAGTAGCCTAGCCTACGTTCTGTACGTTCACTGATTCTAGCTTCTCTCTTTTCTGTCTCTTTCTTTTCATGTGAACCGAGTAGGCTATAGCCTATGCTTACATTTATAAATATAAACTTTATTTCTATTCAATTTTCAAAATTATTTAGGCATATACTGTGCATGTCACACACACACCTTTTGATGTAAATAAAATACGAGAGTGGTAAATGTTATGAACATATTATCATGTTACAGTTCAGCCTATTATTGATTTTTATTTCCACTTCCCTTTTATCCAAAGAGACGGAACTATTTGCACTGTATTTATCAATGGGAAATGCTAAAATAATCTGTCATAGGTCTACTGTGGCTCACATTACTGGGGTCGCAGAGCCCCCATTACCAGCAACATTTCTGCTTCAAATATTGTGCGTAGTTAACAGTGAGTGGTGGTTTCAGACATTGTTTTATTAAAGTGCATTTATTAATACTCTTATTCTGCCCGACAGAAAGAAAAGCTTGTACTGAAGGCGGAGCGGTTTGACCAATCAGATGAAAGGGGCGTTTCAGCGCCACCCACGTGTGCAAATGAAATATCGAACCCATAAACCGATTTGTAAACCACAAACGAAAAATGAAAAATCGAGCCAAAATCTAATTTTTCGTTTTTTAAACTAAACAAAAAAACGAATAAACGAGCTGGATTTCATTTCTCGTTATTCCATTCCAAACAGGAAATCAAATGACCAAAAGATACACGGACCGAACACTCATTAGTAGCATTAAACATAAAATCACATATGTTGAATTTAGATGTGTAGAATTGTACTCCTACCTCCTACAGCGTTCCACATATGGATCGATGCGGCAGAACTGCACACCTCCGTGTCTTTCGGCGTCCTCGGGATTAGCAAACGCCTGTAAAAACACGTTGGTTTTACATCTGTCTAGGACGTCAAACCATTGGATGAAAGCACTGACCAACTACCTTCGTTTATTTTAGAAGTTAATCCAGAGAGTTGCAATATGCCAACTATTTCTATTCGAAATATAAACACTTTATTTTAGAACTCGACTGTCTTGCAGTGATTCTGTCTCGTCGCTGGCGGTGTGTTTGCAGTAATGAAAAGTATTTGTATAAAAAGTTCCACAACTTACCTTTTTCCGAAGTCTCACTTGGCCCGTAATAATAGCAATGATGTACATCTTTAAGATTAAGAGCGTGCTGTAGAAGATGAAGCACAACAGTACATCGCTCCCGAGCATTTTGACTTCAACAGACTGACTGTGTGTGTGTGTGTGTGTGTGTGTGTGTGTGTGTGTGTATGATGGAGACGTAGCCTATTTGGAGTAGTTTAAATATGCGAACCCCAGACCGTTTTGTTCAGCCTATTCCCTCACTACCTGGCAAGAAACTTTCACTGACGTGCAGACTTCCTGCCCATGTGATGACACACATGTCCCATATGAGGATAGGGTGAGACATTCATTTTAACAAAATAACTTCCACCACATTTCAATTGGAATACAAATTTAAACTGTGGAAAGAATTGTTTTTATGTTTGGGGTCCCAGATACCAATGATTAGCTATACTGGAAATTATAGCTGGACATTTGTATTTTTAATATGATATCAATAATTGTGGTAAAACAGCATGTAGTAATACAGTTGAAGACATCATAATAAACAACTTTTGTTTATTCATTTTGTATAAATGGGGCCTTGAGACCTCAATCAACCGGAGGACAGCTGAAGCGTGATATGGAATTGAAATTGTTTGCAATCAGTTTTCAAATTATGTATATATATATATATATATATATATATATATATATATATATATATATATTATATTTTTTTTTTACAGAAATAAACTATGAAATACCAATCTGCTTCTCCAGTGTTGTTGTTTTTCAAGCTCTTATAATGGCTTTGGATGCCACAAGCAACATGTTAAAATAAAGCCTAAAACAGTACAATAATTTGGAAGAAAAAATTATAAAAGAAAAAGAATGTACTCCGTAAAGTTCATGAATATGCACATTAGCCCCGCCTCCACACACACCAGCTCAGAGATCCACTCGGTCAACTTTACTGTAGTAAATGCTGCTCAATGGCAATTGGAAATACTGGTTTAATTCAGCCATATGTGTTTGAACCAGAAACTGATTCAGAAGAAGAATTGGAAGAGTCATCTATAAGAGCCTGGAAGGGTCATCTACAAGTCGATGCATCAGAATGGTAGCGTTTTATGTATTGCTCTCCTCAACGTCGGACATTCCCATTCACCATCTCAGAGTCAGACAGCATGCCTTCCAAAAATAAGTCTCCTTAGGAAAGCTTTTGAACAACTAGAATGTCAGTGGAGAAAGCCATATGCAGGTGAAACTCGAAAAATTTGAATATCGTGCAAAAGCTCATTTATTTCAGTAATTCAACTTAAAAGGTGAAACTAATATATAGACTCATTACATGCAAAGTGAGATATTTCAAGCCTTTATTTGTTATAATTTTGATGATTATGGCTTACAGCTATGAAAACCCCAAAGTCAAAATTAGAAGTGTAATATAACCCTCAGTTAATTCAGTAGTTTTGGGGGTTTAATATATTATTCTAATATGTTTAGTAATTCTATATTTTCTTATTAGTAATATTAGTTTATTTATTTTGAAATGTTATTTTGCCCTCTTTAAGTTATTATGCCTATATAGACTTTTAATCTACAATGTAGTTGTATGGAAAGAGACGGGAGAGTGAAGGGTAGAAGGAGAAAGATCACTCATAGACGGAGACAAATGGTCACAGAGTTCAATTATAAAATAAAAGGAATTTAAGAGCATAAATTTAGGGCATGTAGTTGCTGTTTGTTGTTTTATTTTTGTATTTTCATCTTTGGTTGTTTTAGTACATGATTGAAAAGAGTTATGCATTTATATGCGGTATATCTTGCCTTTGCTTGTTTTATATGTTTTTTTGATTTACGAGTAACTTTAAGTTGTTTACATTAGATGTTAGTCCTATAATTTTGTTGTTAAATAGCCAATTGTTTCTTTTCATTTTGTATGAATGTAAATTCCTTGTAAATACCAATATTGTTTTGTTTGTTTGTTTTAGCTCTCGAATAAGGTGTATTGTGGAGATAAACAAGGATAATAAATGGGAAAAGAAACAAACATCAGTGCAAGTTTCTTTATTTCAACCGGGCTGTTACTTTCCACCCTCTGTTCTTCAAAAGTCTTACTGTAGACAGCATTTCTAGTCAATAGAATTTTCTATTCCCACAGCTGCAAGCATTGTTCTTTATTACATAAACTCTTTAATTTCAACAATAAAGTTACCAACTGATTAATTAGTTTACTTGAAATGCTTTAAATCAGATCTTAAATCAATTAACTGTAGCAACACAGAAGCCTTGATGGGAATTAATCAGTATTAAACTCATGTGACTTAAAGCTGCTGTAGGTAACTTTTGAAAAAATGTATTTGCTAAAACTGTCATTATGTCCTGACAGTAGAATATGAGACAGATAATCTGTGTAAAAATCAAGCTCCTCTGGCTCCTCCCAGTGGTCCTATTGCCATTTGCAAGAAATACACGCTCCCGGTCAGAAACAACCAATCAGAGCCGGGAGGAGTGTCTTAGCAGTGTCAATCACGCTCGTGTACGCGCTGATCACACCCCTCTCTTGCACAGCGCGAGCGCCGGAGCGCGAGCCGTCGTTCAAACTCAAGATTGCCGGCGTGCTGCAGCTGTGCTTATGACGGAGAAACAACCTAAACGGCCAATTCTCGAGTGGCACCTGCTCATAAAACAAAGAGGTAAAAGGAAAAAGACTGATGACGATAAACAAGCGAAAAAGAAAGAATTACACAAAGCCCATTGACTCGGTGTCAAAACTCTAGCCGCATAACATGTTAAAATGTCACGCACTCTGCTAAGCAACAATTGAAACCTGCTAATTCACTGGCTTGTCATGTTGCTGAAATAATGTACTAGCACACCTTATCTAGCATTATATATCGCTAGAATAATTACTTACATACTGTAACGTTAGTTACCGTTATATTAACGTTATCTTACTAGCTATTTATAACTTATAGAAAGAGTGCAACGTTATAAAGTTACATGGCTATTGCAAAATACATAATGATTTGAGGACCAAGTTTGTAGTCAAAGTATGGGCAGGCCATAGTCAATGTAAAGCATATTGTTGACGTTTAGTCCCTTTTAGTGAATGTGCCATATAACTTTTTATCCACCGTCATCGGTGGGCCTGTTTACTAGCCTGCGCTTTCACGACAGGCTCCGCTGTGGAGGACGAGCTGTGGAGGGAGGGCTGTAGCGCAGCAGAGAGCAAGGGGGTGGGGCCTGTAAGTTGTGCTTGTTCAAATTTTCAGGCTAAGTCAACGTTTTCTCAAAACTCCCTACTGCAGCTTTAAGTTTATTAGACTCGACTTTATAATGGTTTAAACAGCACAGCTTTAAAATGTTAGAAACTGAGCTTTAAAATGATACTCTTGGATAATATAAAATGAGTAGGAAAAATTACTGAAATTTTACGGGCAAAAGGTGCAATGTCTATTGTCAATAGTGTGTCTGAAGCACCAATAAGCTTTATACTATAGCAAGGACTTTTGGGACAAGTGTAGAAGACAGTCGGCACATCTGGCCTATATGACATGGCAGAGCTCATGTGGGCCAAATTTTCACCATGTTTAGCCATGGCTTTAGAATTGGAGGGAATTTTCTTTTGGATCATCATTTGTATTGTGGTATATGGCCCAGATGACAGTACACAACTGAGGATCATATGGCATGCATGGATATGGCACACCATGGAATATGTTATCTTATGGTTAATATTTGGTTCATACTTGGAAAAACACATGTAACCTGCTGCTAGCATAGACAGTAAAAGAAATGGACAGAGCGATCTCATTGGAACTCAGTTGAGACAGTTGAAGCCCACTTTTAGCGATTTTTGAGAACTTCCGTTCCTGACGCGCAGACTCAGACCGACTCAAACTAAGCTTGATGACGTGAGCAACCTGTCTGACAGACGTGAATCTTCTAGTAGCTGTGCGTGAAAATTGCCAACGTTAATCTTGCAGAGACGGGGAACTTGAGCAAAGAGTCCTTTATCGTGAGTGAGCAGGAGTAAGTATTCCGTTGCTTTTATGGACTCATTATCTATGGGCTTCTCTCTTGACGGGACGTCCCCCCGATTGGCTGCGAGCTTCTCCTCCTGTCTGTACGGTAATTTCTGTACAGCGCGACAGAGAGTCGAGTGGTTATGACGCAATCGTTAGCCTATTTTTACTAAAACTGTTTCTACGGGGCCATAATGTAACATAGAAGGTAATGGAGCCATTTATACATTGTCGTGTTTCTTTAGAAATAAATAATGGACAAATGGAGTCTTTAAACGCCTCAGATATAAAGTTATTCGCTGTCAAAGTGACGCCAAAATGAATGGTAGTCAATGGAAATGCTAACGCAAGTGAAGTTCTGCTACAAGATGGCGGCACCCGGCCGGCTTCAACTTCCGGTCGATGGATTACCCCCTTGGCTGCTAGTCATGTGTGGCAGGTTTGTGGCAGTCCACACCTCAGCCTATTCAACTACGCTATTGGTTGCTTTCTTCTTCTTCCTTTTTTGCATTTTTTTCTTGAGCTCCTATTGGTAGATTACTATGTGACTGCAACATTAGCACACTTATTTTAAGTTTAAGATGTTATTATTAATAAATAAAATAAAAAAGACTGAAACAGTTTTTGTTTAAGACTTTGATTAACTGTTTAATGGATATTTTAAATAAATAAATAAAAGGTGTGGTTATAAAACGGTTAGTTCCAATCCTTGATTCTGATTGGTCAATTCACACTTTGTACGTGACGTCACAAGTACTGGCTGGCTGGCAAGAACCAAGGGGGTAATCCATCGACCGGAAGTTGAAGCCGGCCGGGTGCCGCCATGTTGTAGCAGAACTTCACTTGCGTTAGCATTTCCATTGACTCCCATTCATTTTGGCGTCACTTTGACAGCGAATAACTTTACATCTGAGGCGTTTAAAGACTCCATTTGTCCATTATTTATTTCTAAAGAAACACGACAATGTATAAAGGGCTCCATTACCTTCTATGTTACATTATGGCCCCGTAGAAACAGATTTAGTAAAAATAGGCTAACGATTGCGTCATAACCACTCGACTCTCTGTCGCGCTGTACAGAAATTACCGTACAGACAGGAGGAGAAGCTCGCTGGCAATCGGGGGGACGTCCCGTCAAGGG